ATTTTTTTTTTTTTTTGGGGGGGGGGAGGGGCAGCAACAACAAAACTAGGTGTACAAATTGCCAGTAATTGTCTTAAATGTTTCTATTGACAAGACTTGTAGTTAACTGTGCACAATTATGTCCAAAAATATAATATTATTAATGTACATATACCTTCCACAATTCTACTACAGTTTTAGCTGTGTCCTGCTGAAGCAGTGGTTCTAATTTGCACGGAAGGTTTTTCAGGAGTGTTTTTCGGTCATCCCCCATCAAACTTGTCCAGTCCCAAGTCCCAGACCCTCTGCCATCTGCATTTCGTTTTTCCCAAACTGAAAATGATACCCCGCAGCTGTTTATGGCTTGTGTTAGTTTGTCGAGATGGATTTTTTTCTTCCCAGTAGGAGTTAGGAGACTTTCTTTTTCATCCCACTGCATCACATCTTCTATTATGTTTCCAATCAAGACGTCTGTAACTCGCAACATTAAATGCAGCTCGTCCAGAATGATGTGGTCTAGTGGAATGTTAAGAAGAGGTTGATGAACACAGCAGTAGTTCTCTCCCTTGGACTTCTCTGCACATTCCTGGAGTTCTTCTAATGTCCTTCTGAGAGGGCTGCTGTCATAGTAGGTGTCAGGCTTAGTCATGTCACCCCTGTAAAAAAATGAAAAATAAAAACAAACAAATTATTTATAACTGTTCTATTTTAATACAGAACTGCCATAGTTTGTACAATTGTTTTTCAATTGTTGATGATATTAAAGGATTAATAAGTATTCAAATGTAAAGTAAATTAATACCTGTCTCTTTTATGAACTTTGCACCACAAGCAAGCATATGTTGAGTTTGCTGCACTGATGCCCATAACCAGTAGTAGAAACTAGAAAGAGTGAATTTCAGATATTATAGAATTGATTACATGACTTGGATAGTTCCAGAAAAGAAATTGGAGTCAGGGCACACATACATGAATATCTACCTTGTAATCACCCCCAAGAAATAGTTCTGTGTCCACTCTGTTTCCATCAATCATTATGTAACCATCCTTTTGGATTTGATTTACATCATCAAAGACCTCCTTAAAGCTACTGGCCAGGGTTTCCCTACTTTCTGGTCCATTTACCACAGCAATGGTGTGAGTACCTTGTTTCAATGTAAAATAAGAGAATAATTTTGTTTGTATGAGAAGTGATGAGAATATTATTGTATTAATGATTATGGACATGTTGCTTTATTGCATTATGTCACATGAGGGGTTAAAAAAGTCATATGAATGTCATTTTTTTATTGAAATTGGATACCTTTTGATGATAACAAGTCATCTTCACTCTGGAGGATCGAAAGGCTCAGCAAGATAAAGTTGCTTACTCTGCTCATCCGAGCACCATCCCCACTCAACTTCACTTTCACCTTCTCACCTTCTTGAAGCAAATTAGCCTCCATCTGCCACCATAAAAGGAATGGACCCACTTAATACAATGTACTTTGTTAAACAAAGATTTGCACGGAATTGATAGTAAGCTTGTAACCATTATATCTGTAACAATGAATACATAAGTAAAAAAACAAGTTAGCAAGTAAAGAAATATTGAGGCAAAACTTAGGCGAAAGATGACTTAATTACTCGGTACTACTAATATTATTGTACTTACCATGTGTTTTACGCGATCAGCTAGTAATTGTTTGAAGGAGTACTGTGCTCCTGGGGCTCTGCCTGGAGTGGATGTAATGATGCAGCCTGTGTTGAGGTCTGTTGGGCACAGTTTGAAGAGGTATGACTTGGGCAATCCATCTACTACCATAGACAACTCCTGCATGAACTCATCCCCAACCCCAAACTTGTCAATAAGATACAATATGCTCTCTACCTTCGCTTTGTCATCATCATTTAGTTTAGAGTATTTTGTCTCACTTTGACATGAGGCTTGGTTTGAAAGATGAGACTGTTTGTTAGCTGAGGGAGTTTGTAGGGTGTTAACTGAAGAGGGTGGAGGTGTGTCAGGCTGAAAGCTATCAGATGGTGTTTCAGGCTGTAAGCTATCCAGTGATGGTGTGTCTGGTAGTGCTTGGCTATCCGGTGGTGTGTCAGGTAAGGTGTCACCTTTAGAAACATTTAAAGGTCCACATTCTGGACTGTTTTCAGTATGAAGGTCAACAGTGTACATTTTTGAACTATCTGGGTCCTTCAATCTCAAGCAGTTGAGTTCAAGCCCAAATAATTTACTGAAGTGTAGAGCCTTTTGAGCCCTTGTTTTGATGTCTTTTAGTTTCCTATTTTGGGCTTGTGTTGTTTTCAGCTTTGGAACAGCTATACCCCTTACTTTGGTGTACTGGTCTTTTTCCACCTGCTTGATATATTTTTTCATGAGCTCACTCTCTTTTTTGCATGAGTCAGACAGTTCTTTTTCCTGAAGCATTTCCTGTAAGAGGTCTTCTTTTTCTTTTTCAAGGTCAAGATACTTTTGTTTCCAGAGTTTAATTTCAGCTTCTGCAGTTTTCACGTTCTGTTCTAGGTTGCTAATGTCTGATTTAAATTTCTCCACTGAGATTACGTCATTTTTAAGTAATGCAAACTTCTTGTATGAGTCCAGGAATTCCTGTCTCTGCTTAGCACTTCCTTTCTTGTTTATTTTTCTTCTTGTAGCATCCGCAACAATGCAGCTATTGGACAGCTGTGTTTCTAATCTTTCACTGTTGCGATCCAAACGAAATGTATTTCCAGGTATAATCAAATTAACAAGGTCAATATAGAGAACACCAGCTGAACATTTGACAGATAACTTTTCTTTTCTCCAGCTAGCAAGGACCCCTTGTTTGATTTTTAGCCAGAATATCACTTCATTGCCTTGTTCACGCTGCTGGACTACATATTGCAGATGTGTGTTGGGGCAATCAGCGAGAACAATTATTTCCTTTTCACTGTATAAAGAGGACATATCGAAAATCGTACTTATCTATAGTCAACAATGTAATTTTGGCATATAAATATTGCGCGTTTTTTTTCGAAAAAGACCGCGTAAAGCTCACAAGGCTGATGGGAAATCTAGTTCCAAGCCTCCCCAGATTACCAAAGCTTTTTTGGAACGCCTAGGACATTTTACTATAATATGGTGGGCATATTTTTACGGAAAGGATTGATTTTTCTCGCGCAAAACATCCCGTTGTGGCTTCAATGTCACTCTTACCTGGAAGTCTGCAATCACATGAAATGGATGTTCAAAACCGAACCCATTTCGGGACGGATATACGCTATCTTTTGCACAGAAACGGCCTGACATTAGAAGTCTTCGAACGGATAGAAAGTAAAGTATGTAGCACTCATGTGCCCGTACAAAATGAACGCAGACTTCAGGGCCGCATGCGACCTTTCACTCAGAACCTTACAATATGGCGTCGTAAAATATGGCTTTACAAATTTCTCAAAACCGAACTGGAATTCAAAGGTTTCATGTCCAAACCGACTTCGAAAACATGTTCGGAAATGTATCATCTTAACTTGATCGAAAGTAGCTCGTCAATACTAAATGCTTTTATTTTGCGACAAAAATTAAATTTTGTCGCCATACATTTTCTGTAATGAACGGGTCAGATCGAAGCCGGAAAAATTCTAAGTGTCGCGCTCTCAGTGCGCATGTCGGCTCGACATTTCTGGCGATGT